TAAAATGTGTTTTCACATGGAATCGCGATACCAAAGCCGTGGCACGGCAGAGCGGGAGAAAGGAGAGCGGAAGGGAAAAATGTAGACAGGTCCAGCCCGTGTCTGATGCACTCTCTGATGCAGTTTCCTTGTTTGCTGTCGATGACGCTGACGACGCTCTGTTGCAGGCGGAATCAACCTCATGGGCAACCCGTGGGTGTGCGACTGCTCGCTGTCCTGGCTGGGCGCGTGGCTGCGACGCTGGCTGCGCGAGGTCCTCCAGGTAAGCGACGAGGACGGCGCAGAGGTCGTCGTTGCCGTGGACCTCCTCATCATTGACGCCGTGCTTCCGTTCCCCTCAGGTGCACGCCCTGCAGGCCGTGGACGCGGCCCGCGTGCGGGAGGCGGTGCAGGTGGCGGCGTGCGGCGGGCAGCGCGACGGGCCGCGGCACAGCCCCCGCCAGGCCGGCGCGCAGGTCCCCGCCAGCGCCGGCGGGGCGGCCGTCGGGCCGCCGCTGCTCCGCCTCCGCGCGACGGGGTGCCACGCCTCGGCGCTGAGCGCGGCCGGCCCCCGGCCCCGGGCCGCCCTGGGCCCACCGCTGCTCGCCGCCCTGGGCGCGGCGCTCGCCCTGCTGCGCCTGCTGCCCGCCGCGGCCGCCCTCAGATGACCGGCAGGGCGCGGCAGGCGGTCGCTCTTTGTCCGGGAGCCGCTTCCACCGACACAATGGCACCCGCTGCGGTAGCGCCGACACACGCCCCGGGAACAAATTGACCACAATCGCGTAGAATCAGCAAGAGACGCGCGCGGCCTTCGAATTGCAAAGATGTATCGCCGGTTGTCATCGGCTTGTACCGTGTTTTTTTTTCTTCGTTTCTCGTCTCCCCGGCTTTTCCACTCCCACCCCCTCTCCCGCGCGCTCTCCCTTCCCCTTCATTCTCTCTAGCTCTATCTCTCTCGCTCTCGCTGCCCACCAACTTGAGCCGTTCCATTCATTATTGTCAAAAAGTTGTGCCCCCTCCCCTCCCCCTCCCCACACCCCTTCCCCCGTCCCTCAGCCTTCTCTGCCCCAGGTTCGGCGCTTTTGCTGCGATCCGGTCCGTGTATGGCGAGAACGCACTGTGTGTGGCAGGTTTTTAGTCAACCCCGCTTTTCCTTCCTATTCAATCTTCACTTCCGCATGCAGTCTTGTATACCAACCCTGCGGCGGCGGCTGCTGAAGACC